GACGAGTTTCAGAAAGGCGGGGCATAGAGGAGAAACAATAATGTATAGAATAAGAAACAGTATGTGGAAAATATATTTTTTTAACCTTAAACCGCATAAACACATTTCATTACACCAAATACACAAAATAATGTTATTTTTAGCAACATCATATGACCCCTTTAATGACCATATAACTTGAACAGCTCAGTTTGCGGTTAGAATGACAAAATGTTTAGTTAGAAGATTAAAATTTAAATGTTTTGCATAGTCTTCCTCGCTTGTCAAAATGATTGAGAATCAAATCAAAAAAGACGGACTTTACTTTTCACAGAAGCCGAGCACCAATTCCAGCGCAACACTTTTACAGTGAAAGAGTGTGAGGTAAGAGGTTGCTAAATATTTAATATGACACTGTTGTTGAATTACACCATTTTTAATTAAAAATTCTCGGTGCGGATTTATCGCCCTCCAAAGGGCACTTCAGAGTGAAAACAATCATGGCTGCCATATTGAAAGGTCGTTCCAAACCGAAGTGCTCAAAACGGGCCACTTCAAAGTGCCCTTCGGAATGAAGGATTTCGAATGGCACAACTGATGGACACTTCGGGCCCCCATGATCGTTTGCACAGGGAAGTTGTTAGGCAAAATGTATCCATTTAAAAACCAATTGCTTGTGAAGTAATATCCATTGGCCGCTTGCACAATCTCATCATTCCGAGCATGTTTTTTGAGGGGTCAACCAGCGTACAAAATGTGCGACAAAGGCGCGTCCTTGATCATCTCGTTAAGATGACGCAGAAGTGTGTTCCAAAAAAGTTTTTTTGACCCCTACACTCTTCATCCCTTCGAAGCTCTCACTCCAGAGGGTAAACCCTTTGAAGGGATTAGGGCGTAGGGATAAGCCCTTCCGAATGGAACGCAGGGACAGGCTATCATTTACATGATTCATATTTGAATGTGTGAAAAAGGAAACATTAGTGGAGCAGTTTCCGTTCTTTTAAAGAGAGTGTGTATATTTGAATATATAGCCTAATTATTATTATAATTATTATTATATATAAATATTATTTGCAAATAGATCACATGAGTTTATTTACAATACATTTTAGTTTTCTAGTCTTTTGATGTTTGATGGTTTGTTTATTTATTTATTTCCTTTAAATAAAAAGGTCCATTATCTTGGTCAAAAATTACTTTGGTCCCCTCCAAAGTTCAAGCACGGTTGCGGCTTTGTGATTCTCTACACCTGTGGTGGCCACCTGTGTGAACTTGAGGAGAAGTGACTTCATAAATGACCAAAAATCTTGATTTTTTAATTCAATTTTGAAAAAAAAATGGGTGTGAGAGAGAAAGGAGACATTCAAAATGTGAAATAAAAACCACTGATTTATACGATCAAATTCATACATTTAAAGGCACAACATGTAAGAGTTTTTTTTTTTTATTAAAATATCCAAAAACCACTAGAACAGTGTTATATATTTTGCTGACTTGTGTACTTACATTATCCCAAATGTTTCGAAGAATGTTTCAATCCAGAGAAATAAGCAATTTTAAGTAGTGACACGGAGCGTGTCCATAGTGTCATTGTGTCACCTGCCAATGATGTCATAACACCTTGTTTTGTAGAAAACATGGAAACACCAAAGATGCTTTAATATGTTGTGCGTTTTAATAGACCGGTGACGACCGCACAGAGTAGCATTATAACAGAACTTTTAAATGTATCTAGTATGATAAAACAGCGCTGCTTTTTTTTCCACATATGCACGACCGGAAGGAGCGGAAGCGGTTGACTGTGGCATAATAAAAGCTCCGCTGCTTTCGAGCTTGTTCAGCGGCGTTTCGTGCTCGTTCAGCGGCCTTGTTTCACTTCGACGGCTTTCAGCCTCACCCTGCTTCATTCTACTACGTTAATAAATCATTAGCTCATCCAAGAACATGATTTCTGCCCGAGTCCTGTCGGATTGCATCGGCTGTGCGGATGAAGACGACAACTCCCATGATCCCACACTCAGTCACGGCATGATCAAACTACGCCTTTGTCTCTTTGTTTATTTTGAATACGCGCCCTCTAGCGGCGAAAATTAAATAGTGTGCCTTTAAGTACCAAAATACTTTTTGGATCCCTCATGGAAAACATCTGCTTCTTTTATATTCAACAAAACACCTGTAATTTATCTTTAATGGTATGTTCTGTGAGCATAAATAAAGGCTCTAGACAGGCTGGACCTCCAGGTGTTTTCCTCAGGTGTGTAACACTCCACTGAGTCCAGACAGTTCATGTCATCGCAGTTTCTGCCCAGGACAAATACCTTCCCTCTGTGACACAGCGGCGAGGGAATGTCAGGAAGACGTTCCTATCTGCTCTGAGCAGGATCAAATCTGCACACAGACACACAGGACTAGATGATTTCTGCTTCTCCCGATTAAGTAGCAATCATCTGCGATATTTGCCCGCAGGTTATTTATACCAAAAACATTTAATTTTCATTTGACATTTGCCTTATCTTGCATTGG